TAACATAACATAATAAAATTAAATTAAAAAAAAAGAAAAGGTCTGGCCTAAGATGGTGAGAACAAAATAGAAAAAAAAAAAAAAAAACACGTGTCAATGGAATAGACACAGAAGAAATAATGTGTAATTAAATTTGGATACTGACTCACTACCCACAGTCACCAGCAGGTACAGGGATGCAACTCTCCAGGGCAGCTTTGATAACACATTCTTGTTCCTGTCAATCTTAAGCAGCTAATCTTAACATTAGTCAGCTGGGTTATTTCAACTCAATTCAATTCAATAAATGTTGAGTGGATCAGTAAACATGTACCAGATACTGTTCTGGGAAGACAAAGTGATCAAGACAAGATTCCCATTCTTATTTCCCCCCAGTTTTATTGAGGTATAATTGATACATAGGAATTGCATATATTTAAGATGTGCAACTTGATGTTTTGATATATGCATACTTTGAACTCATCACCACACTCAAACTAATTAACACAGCCATGACCTCGCATGGTTAACTGTGTGTATGCGCATGCCCATGCTAAGAACACTTGAGATCTCAAAGAGTACAAAGTTCCAGTTATGCAAGATGAATGAGTTCTGGAGACCTAATGTACAGCATGGTGACTATGGTCAATACTGTAGAATGTACATGAAATTTCCTAAGAGGGTAGATATTAAGTGTTCTTACTGCAAGATCCCTATTCTTACAGGGTCTCATGCTGTTATATGTAGGAAGAAACTAGTTTTAAAATCAAGGCATTCGCAGCTTATTTGAGACTAGTAAAATTGCTAAGCATGGCCAGTGGCTGTGGACATAAGCTGGTGTTTGTACATTACTGAAATAGAGCATTTCCAAAATTATCCATAGCCTCAGAAAAAAATTATCATAAAAAATTAGAAAATACACTTAATTTTAAAAATCAGTAATTCTGTCTTAGGATAATGGTGTTACGTTTTGGGGAACATTCTCCCTCTATTTTTTTAGACCTTTATACATAAGTGCATGTTATTTATAAAATGAAGTGAATCTATTAATACTGCCCTTTATCTTACTTTTCCCACTTATTAATATATCAGAAATACATTTCCATGTCAGTGAATATAAAGCTACTTCGTCATTGTTAATCCTCCCAGTGTGCTGTCAAAGGAGATTACGATTTACCCAACAAATACTCTATTGCTTAACACTTGTATTTTCCCCTCATTTTTGGGGGGCTATCATAAACCATACTAAAAAACTCAGTTTACAGATATGTTACACTTTTGTCTGATATTTCTTTAGGAAAATTCTTAGATTTAGAATTCTTGGGTCAAACAGTTTGATTTTTCTCTTATAGCTATGGATGGACATGTATTGCCAAATTCTCTTTTACTCCTCACCCTTAGTGTGTGAGAATTCCCCATTCATCTGCCAACACTGAAAACTATTAGTGTTTCTAATCTTTACCAATCTGATAAATGGATAACAGTGTTGCTTGATTACTATTAATATTGAACTGTTTTTTTCATGTGTTTATAGGTCGATGGTATTTAGATAGATTTTGTGAATAATCTATTGATGTCTCTTGCCCATTTTCCATTGGGAGATTTACTTTCTTCTTTCTTCTTTGTCAAATGTATTTACGTATTAATCTTTTGTCCTATGTGTTAAAATATCCCCCTACCCACCACTTATCCTTCACTTTTAACTTCGTTAAGGTCCTGTTTTCTGTACAAAAGTTTTAAATGTTTACAAAGTCAAATCTATCAGTCTTTTCCTGTCTGATTTCTTTTGTGAGCATTAATACCCTGGCTTGTGGTTTTCCTCTGTTCTGCAGCCGGCATGCTGGGACAGTACAATGTTGGTAACTGCAAAGGTGATATTCCTCACCCCAAAAAGAAGGGTCAGCAGAGGCACTACTTTATAGCAGCTGAAAAAGTTCTTTGGGATTATGCTCCTCGAGGCTATAACAAATTCAGTGGTCTTCCCCTAAATGCTTCTGGCAGGTAAGTACTCTTTGCTGGTGTTTCTAAGCTTCTCATAAGGGAGGCATCTGTTAGACCTTTTTCTGGGACCTCACTTGTATCCCCAGACCTTATCTTATGAGCCCATACTCCATAGATGGCACCACTTAAAGGGTTAACGACACTAAAAGACACCACTTAAAGGGTTCTGAGCCCTGTAACGTACATATTGCTGAGAATTGGCAGGGTATTTATTGTGTCATGATTGGCTGGCTATATCAAAGCACTAAATTCATTCATTCATTCATCAAACATTTCTTGAGCACCTACTGGGTGAAAATTGCAGTGCTAAGTGCCATGAGAAATACTAAGCTCACAGAGAGCAGACTAAGGTCTTTGCACATGTGGAAAAGACAGTTTTGAAGAGAGAATAAGACAGGGCTCTCTTTCAATAGACATGAACTGACCAAGGAAAGTTACCCTTTCTGGTTCAAGGACATCCTGATATGTTATGCCTCCTCTACCCAGAATATCTTTTTCCTACCTATCCAGCAAAATGTTATTTTTCCTTCAAAATCTAATTCTAATGTCACCTCTTAAGTGAAGCCTCCCCTGACTCCTGAGTCATTGTTAATCATTTTCTCTCCCATAGCATGTAGTATTTTTCAAATTAAATCTAACAATTCACTAAGTGGATGTGGACTCCTGTGACTTGTTATTATAGAATCCTGTGCAATGATATCTGTGAAAGCATTTTGAAATGTGCAGTATGATACCAAGAATGATCATTATTACCCTATGATCCCTTTTATGTTTGAGGGAATGTTTTTAAAATTCTCTTTGTGATGGATAAGATACCCTTCATTTCTTTCATCATAATTTCACTCATTCATTCATTCTTCCATCAAACCAATGCCCTTGAACCTAACCTAAAGAATATGTATGAACCATATATGAACCTGTTTGAAATCGACACTCTCTATTGACCAGTATTTCTCTATAAACAGAATAATGAGAACTGGCATTGGGAATTTTGTCTTAGAAACCTTCCAGAATTCTGAAGCACCTTTATGAAATATTAAACTATATTTAACTGATATTTAATGTGATATATGGAAACACAACATAAAAACTGACACAAGGGTTGCAGGGAGCTGAAAGGCAGTGTTCCCACCCTCAGGTCAAAAAGAAGCTGTGTGTGCAGGAGAAGAGAAGTAAGTTGGCAAGTTACAAATAAGATTAAGATGAGTTTTCCAGACAAGGGAGTTCTCTGGGCATTCAGAGAGAGCTAAGACAGCCAGGGAACACTTCTCAGAGGAAATGGGACTTAAGCAGAGTCCTGAAGAATAGTGGAATTTATATAAGTGAATCGTAAGGAGGGAAATTTTAGTTGCAGGGGTTAGTGAGATCAAAGTGATTGGATGGGGGATTTGCACAGGGGAGTGGAGGTTTGCCTAGAGCCATAGGGAGAGGATTGGGTAAACTGGATCTCAACCGCAGATATCCTATAATCCTTTTGAACTTTACCTGATTGGCGGCTGTAAACGGGTGAAGATGTTAGAGCAGGCCGTGGAGATTACCATCTTGGAGATTAACGTTGTAGGAGTGCGTATGCTGAGGGAGAACCCAGAGCGAGCGGAGGCTAGAGGGAGGCTGTGGAGGGTGTAACTAGAGCTCCGTAAAACGCTGCAAACACAAGGTGATAGGGGCAGGTACGGGACTTGTGGCAGTGGGGAGAAAGGCAAGGAAAAGAGGCAAAAAGGGTACAGAGAAGGAAAGACGAACAAGATAAGGGGATGAGGCAGAGAAAGAAGACAAAGGCAGCCTGTGTGACTGCAGGAGTGGTGGTACCGTTGGCAAAAATAAGGTATCTAGAGATAGTGCTAGCCAGAATTCACATCACTGCAGTTCACAACGTTGGAATTTGGTATTTCATGTATATCGTTTATACGATAACTCTCCATTGACTAAACTATTTGATTAACTAGACACTCCATTCCTTAATCATGCCAGATATCAAAGAGCTTACTAGATGCAGAGACTATTCATATTGACATCAGCAAGAGATAGAGGGATACTTACTCTGCAAAGAAACCAGTTAGCTCTTTACTTTGTAGAACACCATTCTGGGACTGCAATGCCGGTGAGTAAGGAGTTCACCTGTGCTTTCTTTGGTTGCTGGACCTCTGGGGAAGAAAGTAGGTGGCTAAGAGAGGAGTGAGCTTGACCACCATCCAGCCTGAGTCTTTCAAGGCTGCCTGACTATTCCGGGGCACTAGGTTGAAGACTGGACCATTTTTCCCAGGGAGATGGGTGGGTGAATGAGCTAAAGAGAATAAAAGGAAGCTCCATAATTAAGGCATCTGGTGGATATGTAGAGATGTGCTCTCAGTCAGGTTCCTATTCTTTACACAGTGACTCCGAGCTCTACTTCACACAAGGGGACAACAGAATTGGAGGAAAATATTGGAAGGCTCAGTATATGGAGTATGTTGATGCAACTTTTACTCGAAGAAAGAGACTCTCTGAGGCAGAAGCCCATCTTGGAATTCTTGGTAGAATAAAACCATCTGTCATGTTTTGAATGGGGGGAGATGCTTTAGTGGGGCATATATGTACATGGAATGACTCTCCTTCTCCTGCATATATTCACTTCCCTCTGCCCCTTTTCATCCTCTTCTCCCTCCTCCTCTTAATATCTTTCAGGCCCCGTCATCAGGGCAGAGGTGGGTGATACCCTGCTAGTCACCTTTGCCAACAAAGCTGACAAAGTCTACAGTATTTTGCCCCATGGCGTGATCTATGACAAGGCCTCTGATGCAGCCCCAAACATAGATGGTGAGTCTCAGGCTGGCCTCTGGGAGGAAAGAGGATGAGGGAACAGAGGACTTAGAACTGGATAGATTTGGTTCAGATGCTGGCCCCTTTTCTTACCAGCCCGGGGAGCTTTGTGAGCTTGTGCCTTACTCTTTCCCTACTAATGTAGATAGTGACACTCTGACTCCTTCAGAAGGAGCTGGAGAGAATTAAGGGCAGGGTCTGCTCCACAGTAAGCACTGAGGAAATATTCATTCCTTTCCTTTTACCTCAGTAATGTAATAAATCTCAAAGTGAGCTACGTTCACGGTCACCCCCACTTCCCTAAGATGGAGAGCTTTCAACCACAGGTTATAGGGGATTCTGTGGGTAAAGGCTGAGGATAAAATCTGATTTCCAATGTTTGGTTGACATCAAAATCCTGCACTGTCTCTGTTGACAAATATTTATTGATAATCAGTCTCGTGTGTTTCCCATCATATATGGCCTCTCCCCTTCACAGAGTAGGTGGCAGAGACTCCCTACATGTAAGAAAGGCAGCTTTGGCCCGGTAGCTGCAGGAACTACACTTCCACTCATGATACTACTCTTGGGAACCTCCTAGTCTCCTTGGAAGTCTTCCCCATCATTGCAACAGACATTATGAAAGTCTGGGTTACTTCATGCCCAAGGATGGGACTAGGCCCAGTCCAGAGCAGGCTTTGAAATGATGGGAACAGAGAAGGGAGGAATGGAGGGAGAATTCCCCCTTCCCAGACCCATCATCATCCTCCCTCCTACAGCAACATCTCTTCTACCTGTACTTTCTCCTTGGTCAAAATGCTCACAATGGCTTTGTGTGTGTGTGTGTGTGTGTGTGTGTGTGTGTGTGTGTGTGTGTAGGAAGACAGCCAGTGACAGCCCATATGTCTATATTTTCTATTGTTTATCTTAGCAAACATACTGGGCACGTTTTTGCAAAGCTCTGAACAAGGTGCAGAGAGTTTCTGGCCTCAGCCTGGCTGGAGAGACTCAACGTATTCATCGTGTTCATTTGGCAATCTGATGTGTGGGCTGAGTGCCAAGTCTTTGGAATCAGACAGCCCTGAGTTTGAATCCCAGACCTGCCACTTATCAGCTTTGTCATCCTGTGTCGTCATTTACCTCCTCTATCTTATGGTTATTTGGCTTATTTCCTAGTTCAACCTAGATTTCTAACTCTTTAAAGACAGGGCGCTTGCTTAACTTTTTGGGGTATCCTCCGCAGTGCTGAGTATCATGTATTCCTCATACAAAGGCACTCAATGAGAGTTTGTGGATTTACATTTAATTGTTAGAGAGGCAATTATCACTCTTTTCATATTTGCTAAGCCTAGTATTTGGGTAAGAAATAGTATCTACGAAGACACTAAATGTAATCTCTGAAGAAGATGACCCTTGGATATAAGCTGCTATCTCATACAACAGCGGACGGTGACAGTGACCTCCCTGGTAGGATACCCGAGTGGAAACAACTGTTCTTCTAAAAAATACATCATCAGAGAGAGACCCCAGGGCTGGAAGACCCAGTCTGACAAATCTAATGTTCTTGACTCTTGCTTTGAGAGTAACTGTATCTATTATCTGCTCAGGATTTCTGAAGCCAGGGGCTCATGTGAAGCCAGGTGAAACCTTCACATACAAGTGGACAGTGCCTGAGAGTGTAAGCCCGACGGCCGGTGATCCCCCCTGTCTGACCTATCTTTACTTCTCAGCGGTGGAGCCCATCCAGGACACCAGCGCTGGTCTTGTGGGGCCCTTGCTAGTCTGTAAGAAGGGTGCTCTCAATGCCGATGGGACACAGGTAGGCCATCCAAGGTCACTAAATTCTCCTCAGGGTTGTATGTGGGAGACAGCAATAATATGGCTAAGGATTAGAGTGTAATAAGGTGTCAGGTATGAAAAGCGGTTTTTCCTCCTTCTTAAAATTGACTTAAGATACAGAATGAGTATCTTACTTTTTGTAAATTTAAGATCTGAATTTAATTTTAAGGTAAATTTAAGATCCGAAAGTTATAGATGCCCACCCAGAAACCCAGGATTTCTGCTTGTTGTGGCTGGAATTTGGTGGGTCCCTGTCCCTGTGCATTGCTTTGATTCTAGAAATCTTTAGGGATCTACATGGACTGTGAATTGGGACCCTTTCTTCTTGGACAAGGTTTCTCAAACTTGGCCACATGTTAGAATCACATAGGGGACCTTTTAAACATCTTTCATTCCAGTGCTTCAGACCGATTCAATCAGAATTTCCAGGTGCTTTCTAATGTGTAGCCAAGGTAGAGAACCATTGTAACTCACCACTGTAAGCTGCAAGTGAATCACTAGGGTCAAGGGCACAAGAAAGCATGTAGATAAATTCTTGCAAGTCCCAACTTGGAGGCTTTGCTGGTTGCATTGACTAGTGTGGCAAAGCATAGCATTTCAAGCTATGTCTACATGATATTAAACACATTGATGAAAGGAGGAAAATCTAATCATACAACCATTTTGATTTATTTCACCAATCAGAAATAGCAAGGCTATTTATTTACATGGTATATTTTATAATGTTGGCATTGTAAGCACCCACTTCTGGGCTCCAGGGAATTTCTAGGTAAAGGACACAAAGTGTCTTAGTCCACCTCAGATTTTCATTTCCCTGCACAAAGTTCCAATCCTAGAAATGTCTATTAGAGGCTCAGTGTGTCAGGGCCCTCCAAATGGGCCCTCAATAATGCATGTGTAATAGGATTGAACAGTTACACTGTACCCCAACAGTCATATAAGGCAAAGCAGACTGACATCCCTGTTTTAAAGCTAAAGAAACTGAGGCCCAGAGACATTGAGTGATATCCCAAGTAGTAAGTAGTGAAACTCAGCAGTAACAGAGGGCTTTGAGCTTCCAACTTTGTTTTTCCAATGCACTACCCTGCTTCCTATAGCTAAATACCTGACCCCAGGAAACTGAGTGCCAGAAAACTTCTGTAAGGTAGTTCTGATTTTGCCCCTATTGCATCCAAGTAGCTTGGATGCTTGCTAGAAGCACGTCATAGTATGTGAAGATTGTTGCCTGAGCCAAACACCGCTCATGGTCAGTCCATTTACATGAAGTTCATGAAAAATTAATAGTAACCTGAAATACCCCACACCTGGGACTTGGCTGAGAGAGAAATCCATTTGGCCAGACGGAAAGTTTCTTCAATGCGAAAAGTACTTATGAAACACATACTAACGCAGGCCATCTGTAAATCAAAGCTTAGGTCTCTTCTCTTCAGGTAGATCGAGAACATGAAAGACGTATTTGCATCTCTTTCCAGGAAATTCTCCCAGGGGTGAATGGATGTCACAGAATCTAACTAGGTGCTAATAGGCCCTTTGCTAACACCCATGCCTTCTACAATGGCCACTTAATCAGACTCCCTACTTCTACTCTCTGTCTATCCAGCCATCTATGCCTATCTTATTTTGAATAATTACTGAATAGTTTCAGACTTACACAAAAGTTGCACAAAAAACCACACAAAGAATTCCCATATATCCTTCACCCAGGTTCCCTAAATATAAACATTTTGCCTCATTTGCTTTATTAGCTTTCTCTTCATTTTTCTGTTTTCTTTTTCCTGACCTATTTGAGGTAGGTCATAGACTTGATGTCTCTTCAGCATGTTTCTGAAAAGTGAGGTCACTCTCTGACATAAATGCAGCATAATTATCCAGGTCAGGAAATTAGTCTTGATACTGTACTATTATCAAATCTGAGCACCCTTGAAAATTTTGCTGTCTTTCCGATGTCCTTCACAGCAAAAGGAAAATATGTTTTGCCTGGTCCAAGCTCTGATCTAGATCATGCATCATCCCCTCTTCATGCCCCTGTTTCTCCTGTGATCTGTTTCTTCACAGGGAAGCAAGTGTGACTTTTCTAAAATGTGAATAAGGTCAAATCACATCCATGTTAAACACCCTCTAGTGGCTTCCTATCACACTTGGAATAAAAATCTACATTTCTTAGCCCAGCCTTATGTGCCCAGCCTCTGACTCCTTCTTTGATATGTCTCCCACACTCCCTCATGCCTACCTCTGCTCCATCCATATAAGCCTTGCTGTTCCTTGAACAGACCAACATTATCCTTGGCTTAGGGTCTCTTTACTAGGTTCCCTCTGCCTGGAATGCCTTCCCCTGACCTTGCATGGCTGGCTTTTCCTGTCACCTCTTTAGAAAAGCCTTCCCTGATCACCAAGCTAAAGTCATACTCTATCACATCACCTGATTTTCACAGGACATTTTCTTTCTTTATTTTTTATGTTTCTGGTATGTTTCTTCTAACAAGAATATAGGTAGCACGGGGCAGGAAAGTTGTCTGTCTTATCTTCATTTCCCAGAACAATGCCTGGTACACTGCTGACACTCCACCAATATTTATGGTTGAATAAATGAAATACAGGATAAGCACTCCATCTTCAAAATCATATTAAGAAGTTTAGGTAGCAGAAAATGCCACATTACACACACTCAAATAGTAAATGTGTGGTCTGCAAGTAGACACTAAAAATTTCAGGACAACCTTATTTGCAAAACTCACTTCCCGTATCCACATTTCAACACTCAAGAGTTGTGTGATCGATCATGATTCAGACCTCCTGGTTTCCCTGCTGCTATGGGAGCCTAAATCATACTGATGTAAGTGCTCTTCACAAAAGAATTTTTTGCTGTGGACACTAGCCATCACTCAGATGCATTCCATGCACAGATGGCAGGATGGATTAATCCAAGTTCTCCAGAGAAAAAGAACCATAAGGATGTATATAGAAATAGAAACAGACTCATTATAAGGACTTGGCTCACATGATTATGGAGGCTGGTAAGGTCCAGGATCTGCAGAGAGAGTCGGCAAGCAAGAGACCCAGGAGACACAAAAGTCCAGCAGGCTCAGGACCCAGGAAGACTGTATGTTTGAGGTTAAGTGTGAAGGCAGAAAAAAGTCAATGTTCCACTTCAAAGGTGGGAGGAATTCTCTTTTACCTGTGGGAGGGTCAGACTTTTTGTTCTATTGAGTCCTTCAACTGATTGGATGTGGCCTACCCACATTGGGGAGAGCAATCTGCTTTACTCCATCTACCAAATTCAAATGTTAATCTCATCCAAAAACATCTTCATAGAAACATCCAGAAAAATGTTTGACCTAATATTTGAGTACTGCAGCTTAGTCAAGTTGACACATAAAATTAACCATCACACAGGGTCCTATCACCTTTCACCTATCACTTTCTAACCTTTTCCTGGGTTAATTTCCCACCCTCATAGACCCAGTTACCTTCCAAATAACTCACAGGTGATGAGGTTTTTCAACTCAATACCTTTCAGTGGTTCCTTCTTGTTTTATGGACAGTTGAAATCATAGCTAATAATCACAATTAACATTGAGCACTTGGGATTTGCCAGATGCTGTGTTGAGTGCTTTACCTATATTATCTAATTTAACCTTCACCAAAAAACAGGAAGTGGTGACTACTCTTATCCTCCTTTTGCAAATGAGGGAATTAGGGCTTAGAGAGGGTAAATGACTTGCCCCAGTTTCCACAGTGGATAAGCAGAATGACATTAGAATCCCATAATCTTTTAAAGTATACTTGACCTCTTATTTCTCCCCAATTTTTATATTTTACTTTGAAAAATTTCAAGCCTGCATTGTTCCTTTTCATAGCTCATGATCTTAAACTACTGCCTTCTAAAACACCATGTGATAAAAGCAATAACTGTATATAAGGTATGGTATGAGAATAAAGTAAAGGGTACCCACATCTTTGATGATACATTAGGAAAGCATCACAGTGGTGGGACAGCTAAACTGGCCCTTGAGGTTGGATTAGGGTGGCAGATGTTCAAGTTGAAGGGATGCATGCATGAAAGACAGAGGCCCTCAGAATACAGCAAATTCAGATTGCTGCAAGGAGTTTGACCTCAGTTTGGTCAAAGTGCCAGGAGGGAAGAGCCAAGATATGAGCCTGAGCAGGTAGGCAAGGACCAGATCACTCCAAGTTTGGACTGTATTGTCCAGTTTCAGAAGGAGAGAGATGTGATCAGTGGCATTGCTGGGGATCCCTCCGGAGCAGGCAGCAGGGTAAAGGGTGGGTTGGAGGGGAGCACATTAGAGATAAGAAGATGGTTGAAGGACAGAAAATATAGTCACCTCTCTGGTTCAGCTTTAAAGAAAAGCATATTTCAGCAATGCGGGATGCTGTGTGGTCAGACATGCTCAAACACATAGATTAGGAATATACACAGTGGGAAGTAATCCATGGTCCCCTCAATTTCAATTTATGTTAACATAATTTAGCAAAGTCTCATGGGTTATATGAATTCATTATTTCACTCAAAAACATGTAGAGTGCCTGCTTTTCCAGGCATTATTTTTTAACTGGGATACAGAGAGGAATCCAGAATGTCCCTACCCTCACAAAGCTACAATGCAGTGGGACATCAATCAAAAACCTAAATGCATAAATAAAATATCATTTCCCATGGAGATAAGTGCTATGAAGAAGAGTATAGTGGGAGTGAGGGAGTGAGTGAGTCTGCAGGTAGGATGGAAGCTGGGTGACTGTTTTAGACAGGGTGGTCCGGGAAGAGCCCTCGAGGAGGTGACATTTGTGCAGAGAACTGAACGGAGTAAAGGAGTGAGCCAAGCAAGACCTTCTAGGCAATGGGAACAGCACATGAAAGGAGAAACTTCTAGGCAATGGGAACAGCACATGAAAAGTCCCTGAGGTAGGAGTGAAGCTGGGTGATCATAGAAGAGCAGAAAACCAGGGTAGCTGGAGTAAGCAAGGGATGAGGACAAGGAGACACAGTCAGAGAGAGAAGCCAGGGCTTGGAGCATAAGAGAGTGATGACCAGCCTGAAAACAGGAGTCCCACAGTGTAGGAAAGCTTGTGAGTAAGGACTTATTTCCTCTGAGCAAGTCCCATGGGGAGAGAGAAGGATGTAATGAGGAAGATGGAATTTTATGGTATAAAATGAATTTATCAGAATCACGGTCAGAATCCTGATTTACAAAATGACCCAGTAAATCCCTGGCTGATGTTGGTCCTCATTTACTTTGTGTTAACTTTGAAAGTGAAGTAGAGATAAGAATTCCCTCCAAGCTGTACTTTTTATACATTCCTTTCTTTCTTCTCTGTAGAAAGGAATAGACAAGGAATTTTACCTACTGTTCACAGTCTTTGATGAGAACTTGAGCAGGTATCTTGACGAAAACATTCAGAGGTTTACATGGCACCCCTTCAGTATTGACAAAGAAGACAAGGATTTTGTGAAGTCCAACCAAATGCATGGTATGAAAAATGACTTTCCCTTCTGTAAGGGAAAGGTGTAATTGCTTTTGAAATGAAAATGTTTCAAATGTTTTAACTATCTTAATTTTTGTTTCTTGGATATTGTTCTTGGTCACACGTAAATTATTTCATGACTTCATCTCAGAATGTATGGTGAAACCTCCCTATCTCCCAGCGATACTGTGAAGCTTAATTAATACTTCCAGAATACTTCATCAGCTTGCGATGAAGCAACACAGAATATGAACTAGCAAAGATCACAGTACATTATAAAAGTACAAAATTACTGACAAAATGCCCTCCCTTGGGTTTGTAATCATATCATTAAGCCTGATAATCCAAGTGATCATTAGAGATAAACATTAAACAGCAAAGCATCTCTTATCAAGTACATGAAGGACTGTCTAAAGTGCTAATTTGTAAAATGCTACCCATTCCTGTCCCAGATCTTATTTAGAAGGAATTACTTAATTCCCCTTCTCTGTGTCTCTTCTATCAGTTGTAACAGTGGCAAACCACCTTGTAATTGGTGTGACTAACACAAGATTCTCATTTGTCTTGGGCACACTACCTAAGGTGAGAGAATAATGAGTGAGAGCCCAAACTCAAACAACTACTAGAGTGTGCAGTCAACAAAGGGGCCCAAAGCAAGCACTTTAAGAGAACAGGTGCCAGATTTCTCATTTTAGGACCAAGGATAACAACTATGTATTGCCTTTGAAACATTATGGGAAAATAACAAAATAGTCCCTAATCTCCCTTCCCCCAAGGAAGTTCCAAGTGACCCATAGCAGGCAGCTCACAGACTCCTATGGTCCTGGGTGCTCCATGCCAACAGTCTCCTCTTCGACCAATGAAAAGCACAGAGTAACTCATTTTCAATACCATCTTCTACAAAATTTTTGTTATAACTGAATAATGAAATTTGTTTCCAATCTTCCTAGCAGCCAAAAAAAGGGGGGGGTGGAATAAAGTAGAATGAGGAAACAGCAATTCCTTCATGGAAAAGCTAAGTTGCAAAAGAAATTTATTATAAGAGAGGCCTGTAAAGAGAAAGCATTAAACCCCTAATGGACCATGTCACATCCAGCCCCACCCTGGTTTGACAATGTGAAATACACTTTCATATATTGGATGTGTAAAATATGCCACCTTTAAAACAAAATGCAAGGAAAGCAATGTATTTTAATTTAAATTTTACATTAATTATAAATTAAATTCTATCTCCAGGCTTGCTTGCATGGAGTAGAAGGAAGAATGATGGCAACAGTACCAAAGAGAAAGTGCCTCACATGGTAGACAGTGCTTTGCATTACACCTACTATATAGTCTATATTCAAAGGTGTTTGTTGATCTCTTTCCCTCAAGGGCATCCCCAGTGGCTTGCGAGCTGTCCTTGGGGGTCTTTTATGACAAAAAAGAAGTGTACCTACAGTAGTTCTTGGGTTAGTCAACAAATATTGACTGAGTTAGGGGACAAGACTACACAAGAAGGCAGAACAGTGTAACTTCTTTACCAGAACTTATCATGGGCTTTGGGTACCTTTATCTGACAAATTACAAAAATCTCTTTAACATTCAGTGGACAAGATTTACATAATTTATTTGCAAAAGCATTATCAAAGATTTTTTTCAGAAAATGCAATGTTCTTCTCAGAAGCCTCCAGGCTTCTTAGACTTTCTACTAATAATCCCAGACATTTGAATAAAATTACCAAGTACCACTGGTTCTGCAGACACAGAAATAAAAAAATGACTTTATCTGATAATGGGATTATAAAGAAGATCATTCATATGTATGATAGTTGTTCTTTCCTACTATGGGCATTATAAGGAGTGGCAAGGGTATAGAATCTTTATCTAAGGGACATCAAACATGAGACATAATTATGTGTAGTCCCCCCCCACCTCCGTCAAACAGTGCTATTCAGTTAATATATTCATCCCTCACAGAGTGGGAATGTGGTTTCTAAATTCTTTTCAAGGCACTGCTCCAGGTAGTCACTATCAGTGGATTGAGGTTGATATAAAAGATTTTCATTTCAGGAGATACAGAAAGTCTCCATTATTTAAATCATCATTATTCAAAGTCCTTTCAGTTATTTTATTGGGGTAGGGAAATAAAAGTTATCAAAAGGCAAAATTATTTACTCAAAGTCTAACCTCTTAAAACTTAGCACCCCTCTCCCCTGCAAGAAAAATCCCTCTCCACTGACCAGACATGCAAATACAATGTCAATCAATTGCAAATCTTTCAAATGGTGCAAGATCCATGAAATCAGTAAAGGGATGTCTGGCAACTTTTGGAATCAAATGCAAATCCATTGGCAGATGAAGATCTAACAAAATGAAATGAATTAACAAACTGAGAAAGAGACACTTAAAGGAGATAACAAGATAAGAACCTCAAAAGAAAATGATTTTTAAATCAAGAGTTCTAGAGCAGGCTTTGAGGAAATTGATGAAGTTCATAGCTATTTTCACAGGGATGATGTTCTTCATAATCTGCAAAACTAAAATGTGAATTGCAGGATATAATATTACACTATCAAACAATTTTGTCAGAAAAAAATTATGCCAGAAAACAACCTGATTTATTCCTTATTGATTCTTAGGACTTGTGCCCTTGTGTATATATTGTTAAATATAACATTTTCACAATTTTAGTATATTTTCATTCTTGTTGTTCAGTTTAGTCTCCAGTTTGGATTGATTCACTGTGTGCCTTTTCTCCAGTACTATTTACTCTCTGGTAGTAAGGATCTTCTGTAAACAGTTTGAACTTGAACACCTGAACAGCCCGCCCCCACACACTGATAATCCTCAACTAAAATGGTGTGTTTTCAGTATCTACAAGATCATAGTGGGCTCTGACTATCTTTTTCCTTTTGTTTAGCTATTAATGGCTTTATGTATGGCAACCAGCCAGGCCTAAGCATGTGCAAAAAGGATAGAGTTGCCTGGCATATGATTGGAATGGGCACTGACACGGATATGCATGGAGTTTATTTTCAAGGGAACACCATCCACCTACGAGGGACTCACCGAGACACCCTAGCCCTGTTTCCCCATACCTCCACAACGGTGTTCATGCAGCCGGACCATGCAGGTAAACTTGGCAGGACCATCTTGGGTGACCAAATTCCTATCTTCAGGCATACATTCTAGAAGAAATTGGTTGGATTTGGGCACTTCAAGGCAAACAGCCTTGGTTACAATCAGACAATCCTAACTACTTTATTCCAAACACACAGTATAAAGAATAGAGGAGAAGTGGGGCACCTGGGTGTCTCAGTCATTGGGCGTCCGCCTTCGGCTCAGGTCATGATCCCAGGGTCCTGGGATTGAGCCCCGCATCAGGCTCCCTGCTCTGTGGGAAGCCTGCTTCTCCCTCTCCCACTCCCCCTGCTTGTGTTCCCTCTCTCACTGTCTCTCTCTGTCAAATAAAAATATAAAATCTTTACAAAAGAGAAGTATCTAGAATGACTCAAAGCAGAAATCAACATCCTCTAAACAACCTTGCCACACAAATCCCAGGAGAGAGCTCTTGATCCATTCCCAGGAATGATTTGGCCCCAGGAAAGAGGATATTTCTTGTTCTCTTTAAGCACCAGCATTTTAGTTGCTGCTCTGAAGCATGTACCAGGCATGGACAGCCCCGTGGATGCTTTCAGGTTATGGACATGACCTGGTTTCCATTCTCTAGAGACTGATAGTAGCCTTTTGATAAGTTGTTTGGAGACCTCCCCATTTTCGTTCTGTTGGGCACCCTTGGTTTCCCTAGAGGGGAAGTTGCATTGGGTCTGAAGTCCATGGAGGGCCCATTGAAGTGCCGGTACTTGTCCCTTCTCTTAGAGATTCCCACGCTAATTACATAATCAGGACATTTTTCCAAAAGATAAAGGGCAACACATGCTACCTGTCACGTGAAAAATAAAGATAGCAGATGCTATGGGCATTCAAAATATTTCTCCAACCGAACTTTTTCATTAGTCTTCAAAAAAAACCAATATGGGGACCTGGGTGACTCCGTTAAGCATCTGACTCTTGATTTCGGCTCAGGTCATGATCTCAGGGTCGTGAGATTGGGCTCTTTTCAGGCTCCCCACTCAGCAGGGAGTCTGCTTGAGATTTTCTCTCCCTTTCCCTCCCTTCCCCCCACTTTCTCTCTCTCTCTCAAATAGAATAATAAATAATAATAATAAATAATAATAAATAAGTCTTAAAAAAAAAAGAAACCAATATGCTACCCAAGATGAGTACTTGCTGACTGTGTGTCCTTTATGAATTGATGTCTACTTCTTTACTTCACATGAGAAGCGCAGTTTCAATGCCCCTTAGTGTCATTGGTTAAAACATATGGCTTGTGCTTCAAAATATTTGTCCAAGAACTGCCTGAAACTAGGAGCTCCACAATCCCTGCCTTATAGACTTTGAGTATTTAACCTTTCTACATTAGTATAATTGATCAGTTATGAATCATCCAAGCCAAGGGATGCCTTGGGCACAATGATTTTTAAAAATATGCTCTTCAAGACCAAAGATGGGAGAGAAGGGTAATAGCCAGTTTTAATCTGTAGAAACCAGCATTCAGAACTACAGCTGGCTGGAATAATTTTAGGGACTTGGTTAATTATTCCAGTGCCTTGTGTATTACACATGTGCCCTATAAGGTTCTAGAGAGCTTGTGACAATGTTTTCCAGTTTACGTCTGGTGATGAGTATAAATCTGTGACTGCCTAATAGCTTGGTCATTTCACCAATTCCTATCGCATATCTATAGGCCAAAAATAGTGCCCAAAATGTGAGTAGACCCTAGGCTTCAACTAAATATTTTTTTCTTTGTTCTTGTTTTTTAGCCACTTTATTCAGATATGACTGATAAACAAAACCTATAGCTCTTTAATATATACAAATCAATGAGTGATGTTGAACATCTTTTCAGATGTCTGTTGGCCATCTATATGTTTTCTTTGGAGAAATGTCTGTTCATATCTTCTGCCCATTCTTTAATTGGATTATTTGTTTTTGGGGTATTGAGTTGTATCTTTTCTTTGTATATTTTAGATACTAACCCTTTATTGGATATGTCATTTGCAAATATCTTCTCCCATTCAGTAGGTTGCCTTTTAGTTTTATTGTTTCCTTCACTGTGCAGAAACTTCTTATTTTGATGTAGTCCCAGTAGTTTATTTTTGTTTATTTCCCTTGCCTCAGGAGACATATCTAGAAAAATGTTGCTATGGCTGATGTCAGAGAGATTACTTACTGCTTGTGCTCTCTTCAAGGATTTTTATGGGTTCAGGTCTCACATTTAGGCCTTTAATGCATTTTGAGTTTATTTTTGTGTATGGTGTAAGAAAGTGGTCAAGTTTCATTCTTTTGCATGTTGCTGTCCAGTTTTCATAACACTATTTGTTGAAGAGACTGTCTTTTTCCCATTGCATATTCATTCCTCCTTTGTTGAGGATTGACTGACCATACAATTGTGGGTTTATTTCTGGGTTTTTACATTCTATTCCTTTGATCTATGTGTCTATTTTTATGCCAGTGCCATACTGTTTAAATTACTACTGCTTTGTAATATAACTTGAAATTGGGAATTGAGATACCGCCAATTTTTTTCTTTTTCAAGATTGGTCTGGCTATTTGAGGTCTTTTGTGGTTTCATATAAATTGTAGATTTGTTTGTACCAGTTCTGTGAAAAATGCTGTTGGTATTTTGATAGAGATTGCTTTAAATCTATAGATTGCTTTGGATGGTATAGACATTTTAATGATATTTGTTCTTCCAACCCATGTGCATGGAATGTCTTTCCATTTCTTTGTGTCGTTTTGAATTTCTTTTATCAGTGTTTTATAGTTTTCAGAGTAGAGGTCTTTCACCTCTTTGGTTAAGTTTATTCCTAGATAGTTTATTGTTTTTGGTGCATTTGTAAATGGGTTTTTTTTCTTAATTTCCCTTTTGGCTGCTTCATTATTAGTGTATAGGAATGCAACAAATTTCTGTATATTGATTTTGTACCTTGCAACGTTACTGAATTCGTTTATCAGTTCAAATAGTTTTTTGGTGGAGTCTTAGGGTTTGCAAATCAAAATTACAATGAGATATGACCTCACACCTGTCAGAATGGCTAAAATAAAAAACATAAGCAACAATAAATATTGGCAAAAATATGGAGAAAAAGGAACCTTCATGCACTATTGGTGGGAATGCAAACTCTTACAGCCACTGTGGAAAACAGTGTGGTGCGTCCTCAGAAAATTAAAAACAGAATTACCCTAAGATCCAGGAATTACACTATTGGGAATTTACCCCCAAAATACAAAAACACTAATTCAAAGGGGTACATGTACCCCTGTGTTTATAGCAGCATTATTTATAATAGCCAAGATACGGAAGCAGCCCAAATGTGGATAAGGAAGATGTGGTAATATATATAATGGAATATTACTCAGCCATAAAAAGAATGAAATCTTGCCATTTGCAAAAACATGGACAGAGCTATAGAGAGTATAATGCGAAGTGAAATAAGTTAGTCAGAGAAAGACAAATACCATATGATTTCACTCATATGTGGAATTTAAGAAACAAAACAAATGAACAAAGGAAAAAAGAAAAAAAGAGAGAGAGAGAGAGAGACAAACCAAGAAAGAGACCCTTAACTATAGAGAACAAACTGATGGTTACCAGAGGGGATGAAAAAAATAAAATGATAGAAAAAAATGAACAGCTATTTATGCATTTAAAAAAGAACAAATTGATGCGTTGGGAGGTAAGTATATGTCTGTGAAGTTATCACCACAATCAAGGCCTTAAACTCCTCTTCATTCATTTTTTTTAAAAAGATTTTTATTTATTTATTTATTTGAGAGAGAGAATGAGAGAGAGAGAGAGAGAGCATGAGATGGGGGAGGGTCAGAGGGAGAAGCAGACTCCCCGCTGAGCAGGGAGCC